GTTTGCCCCTCAGCCCACCTTATAAAGTTCTTCCCCTGGGGTGCCCCTGGAAAAAGGTCCGCATAAACAGGACAGACGGTGCCTTTGACAGAAACCAGCGAACCAAGGACAGGGACGACCATGAAGGAATGTGATCCGAGAACGATGATGACAGAAAATGACTATCGGGCGCTCTCATGACGCCAATCGACCAATAAAGACCGCAGCCTGCATGTTCCACCCCAGAGGGGCCAAGCCCATTGCTCATCTCTGTACAGTGTGTCAGGGCACTCGTCCCCCAGCTCCGGGCTGATGCACGGTGTGTTGCTTGTAACCGACCTGGCCTCTGACTGAATTGAGTGTCTTCTCTCTACCGTACAGTGTCGATCATTCTTAAGAAGAGCTTGCTAAAGGCAAACTGCTAAACTATCGTGGGAAGATGACTGGGCAGGGTCCCTAGGAGTCCGGATTGACTGATGACTGTGAGGTGTGGTGTTCTGTGTGTGTGTGTTGTGTGTTTTAGGGTAGGATTGTTTCAGTTCCAGGTTCAATATTTTCCCAGAGCAACTGACTTTCGGGGTTCCTCCAGCCTCAAGGTGTCCCAGAAACCTGGATTCTGTGAAAAAATGGAAATTATGTTTCCCTTTTGAACAAGGGCTGGACCGAGTGACAAGGGTCAAAGAATCCTTCGGGGTTGCTAGGAGCTAGAATCAACCGGATGGCAGGAGTGGGGTGGGGTAGGGGTTCTCGAAGAAAGCCTCTTGCCTCAGACCTCCTGGCCCTTAGAGCTACACTCAGTCCCAGGGAGTACCCAACAAGCCACCTCTGGCTCTCTGCTGCCCCCGTGCAGCCCTTCCTGGCTCCCTAATCAGATTCTTTGGGCCCCCATTAGGGACCCGAATCGGTCCGTCTCAAGTCCCCCTGCAGCTCCTCACTCAGCCCTTTAGGGGCCCTAATGGGGCTCCACTCAGCTTCCCTCCAGCGCTTTGGGTTCCCTTGGCTCAGTGGGTTAAGAAGTGGGCTACTAACCGAAAGTTTAGCAGTTCGAAACCAACACCCTCTCCTCGGAAGAAGGACAAGGCTTTCTACTCCCGGAAATAGTTACATCTTGGAAACCCACAGGGTCGCTGTGCATTGGGATCGACTTGAGGGCAGTGAATTTTAGTTTTCCTTTACTGAGCCCCGGCTCTGCGCAGATGAAGGGTGCAGTCCCTGAACCTGCCACGCGAGGGCGACAGAGCCCCGTCGCTGTGTACACAGCGCGGACCCCTCCCGGGCTCCCTGCTGGAGGAGGCTAGCTAGCCAAGCCTGGCACTGATTGGGGGCACTGCCCCTTCGGGCCTCATGGGCTCACCCCACCCTCCAGGGACAAGGCCTATTACTCCCACACGCAAGGCATTGCGGGGCTTACCTGTGTTTACTGACCAACGTGTGAGGGCAGCCCCACCGGTGTCCCCATCCTTGAGGTGAAACCCATCCTTTGCTCTCTGGTGAATCTGCTCCTGCCTGTGGCTGCCAAGTCCTGGCTGTGCCCATGGACATGAGCCCCACACGTGTGCCCACCGCTGCCTCACCACCCTGGACGATTTGTGCCCAGCTACACATGGGGATAGGAGGCCTGGTGGTGGTGGCAGCCAGGACGGGGACCAGCTGTCTATTGGGCATGCTCCAAATTCAGGCTCCAAGCCAGGAAGGGCGGTACACCTAGGTGGGCAGTACACCTGGATTGACCCAATCTAGGCCAGGTGGGCTTCATTCAGCCAATGGGGTCAGTCAGTACTGAGGTAGTTAGTTTATTGTGCCAACCTGGCTGATAAACACAT